GAAAAAAAACTTTGAAACAATAAAATTTGACATAAAAAATATGTATGGTTATTCATTGTTTCAAAATACATGTTGGTACTGTACCAACGTGTATTTTGAAACAATGAATATGAAATAAAAATATGTACCTAATTACTACATTGTATTTATTTTACATCCAAAAAATTACTGATAATATTTAAGTTTCTTAAATTAATAATTCCTTTACAATAAACAAATGCTCCTTACAAGGCCTCTTTTGTTTTATCACATATACATCAATTTACTTTACAAAACTTCAATAAATATCAAAGTTGACACCAAGGATGTTTGTAGAAAACTTACGTGATATAATCAAGGAATGTTGCCAATGGTTCAAAACAATGGTTCCTCATATGGTTAAACTCAATCACCATTTTCTCTTTCAACTTATCATCAATTGTTGACACTGACAGAGGACTAGGTTCATTGGCCAGAAAGTTTCCATAGTCTGTACTCTGTAGATGCAGCTTTAGATCTGTAAAATAAATGAGTTTACTCAAAATTAAAACAATTAATGCTTTGATGAATTTTTATAAATCAAGAATCAATATTATTACAAACAGTTCTTTTATGAATGGGTCTCTAAATCAGTAACTGTGACAAACTTAGGACTAAATTAGTCCTATATATAGTCCTATAACATAAGATGTTGGAGTCACAGTGTACATCTTATGTTATAGGACTAGTTCGACTTAGTTTACAGACTGGTATTACATAGACGTTGGTCTTTAACGAAGGTGGCGCAATAGCTCAGTTGGTTAGACTGTCACTTCTGAGGTCCTGGGTTTGATCCTGGGTAACACCCTTGGGATTTTTCAGAGACACTTTCAGTGTTTCCCACCTCACTAGAAGTGTACTGGTAAGAAATCCAGGTAATCCTTACATGTATCAGTGCTATACACTGGGCATGTAAAAGAATCAATGGGTCTTTTCAATAAGAGCTAGGGACTGGTTCCCGAATTCCCTTGTATCTCATAGCTGTCTCTGAAGTAACTAGTCTAGAGTCATGTCTACGTCCCCGCAAGGCTTTGACATTAATCGAAGATAGAGAGATAGGGCAACCATCGTCTATATAATAAAGAGGCTAAAAAGCCCTGTCGTACAAATATTTGGGCTAACCTGCACACTCTTATATCTGTGTAATACGAACCTTTGATTATTAAAAAAATAGCTTACTAAGTACCGGCACTAGTTCATCGACTGTACATACAACATTATTAGCTAATAAATGTCAGCTTCAAGATGTGTCCTCATATTGTAAAACAAACCAGGTTTTTTTTTACCTTGTTCAAGCATTGAATTATGTTTTGTACAAATTTACATGAATCACCATCAATATTTGTTTTAAATTTTTTAAAATACATTCATGATTTATTTGTACGGTACCAGTTTGATTGATCTACAGTATGGAGCTGTACAGATCTAATAATTTATGCCTTACCCTCCAACGTTTCACACTGGACAAGATTTAAATAGTCGCCTTGTTTTAAGATACCAGATTTGAAACCTCTGACCATACCCTCAAGGTAACCATGGTCAATGTTAAAAGATACGTCTTGATACTCCATGATCTAAAATGTTAAGTTAATCAATACAAAAATTAAAATGATAGACAACTTTGTTTTCCTGTCACATGATACTTCTTTATTATTTCCGGAAGAGTATGTAAGGGGCGCAACTCTTGGTATACAGGTGTGCTTAAAAGTGTTTGTTCAAATGCTAATTGCGACTCTTTCATAAATAAAAGAAAGAAAGAAAGAAAGAAAGAGAGAAAGAAAAAAAGAATAAAGAAAATGCGATATGAGGTCTTCGTTTATTTTATTGGCCTCTCGACTTTTTCAGATATTATAAACTTCTACAGTATGTCTCTTCTTACTTTTTATCTCATACCCGTGCCTTTTTTGACCGTGCATACCCCAGATTTAAAAGACCCTGGTTTAATGATATTTTATTGCATATACATGTATAACTCTTTATCAACTCTGACATCAACTCTTTTACATCAACATTATTACACAATATACAATAGGGTTGGGCCGAAAAATTTTGCAACATCATCATGGGCCATCCACTGTTAGAATCTCGCAATTGAATTGATATGGCCTGCCTGAAAGTATAGGTTCATATACGGGTTATTTGCTAATGACACTTGTATATATCACGGTCAACAAAACACGCAAAATACCTAGCTTAATAATATTTTATTGCATATATAAATATACATAAATTCATTTACATTAACAAAATTACACAATATAAAAAAGGGAGGGCCAAAGTTTTTACAACATTATCGTGGGCCCTTCCCTGTAAATGATTAGCATCAGTTTCATAAAGTAAAGAAAGTTATACATTAAAGTAAATATGCATTAAGTAACAATACATTTTCATTTTCAAATGAAAAGATTGAAGAGGGAAGAAAAGAAAACAAGAATAGAAATGTTGCTGTTTCAGTTGTGTGTCGACACTATACCACCAACCAATCCCCATCATCAATTGTTAAGCAGATACCCATTTGTTTGTAATGAGCAAAAATAACCTAAAGTACTTGTTATAGTTAATTACAATAAAAAACAATGTAGTAACGTTTTATGTAAACCTCTTTGTTTCTTTGATATAATTTTGAACATGCTGAAATAAGATTTTGTTTTGAAAGTCGTTTAAATTTTCAATGCCAAAGAGTAGCTTTTTAGTACTAAGCGGATGGAATTCTCTGGTGTTTGCTGGGACATACGATATCGTATATCCCAGGTGTTTGTAAATAGTTTTCTTCTTTGTATTGTATACTTTCGACATTGGAATAGAAAATGTTCGGCATCTTCTATTAGAGTACCACAATCGCATGCTGCACTAGTAGTAAGATGATTTGTAAATAGGTCAGAATTCAGATTGCTACATTTATTTCTAATACGAGCATGGTAGACAGCAGATACACGATCGCCTTCGATATAAAATAGCGGCACAATAGGGGCTTTATATAATGTTTTAAGCTTATTTTTGAATATTGATAATGTTTCTGATTCTCTAATATGGGATGGTAATTCGTTCCATAGATGTATAGAGGATGGAATGACAGACTTAGCATACATTTCTGTTCTTCTTGCTATTGAAGCATAATTAGCATTATTTCGTAGCGAGTATAGATGTGAGGAAACATGTTCGACTGTTGGTGGGAATAACTGTGATAAATATAACGGCAAAAGGTTATGTTTTTCTTTATAAATCAAAATAAGTTTTTGCATTTTTCTCCTGTCGTCTAATGAAATACCTAGCACAGAGACGTTGATAGGTTACAAAAAACGGGAAAACACATGGTTAATGGAATACATTGTATAGCACATCGAAAAAAGTGCTGTAGTAAACATCACAGGATCCCGGTGGTTAACCAAAATGCCCTGTCCTGTTTTTGTTTGGGGGTCCTCCTGGGCTCCTTGCCACTGGCTCTTGTTCAGTTGCTGGGTCGGGTGGGGGTTGCGTTCATTGAACGCCGCCTTTCCTTGTTGATCTTGTTTATCATAATATTATATATGCATATTCTATATGAAAAAATTTGGTTAAGTATATAAAAATCATGTTTTCACAGGAACATTCTAAAACATCATCGAATTCCCTAATCACATAATGCGATCAATGAGGATAGAATATTTAGTTTAATACTGTGATTATGCATCCCCGGTAAGCAATAATATTTTTTCTTCATGAAGAGTAAATAAGTTGTATGAACCACACGTAATATTCTATTCTATTTATCAACATACCTAAAAAAAGAAGGGTTCAGAAGAAGAAATCACATTTTAATCGGACCACCTAAAATTTACGCGTTTAAATTGTCATCATTATTACAACGATCTTAATCACTGAAATATGCAACCGACTACATTTTTAACGGATCCAAAGACGGCGCGTGTAAGTGAAAAAGTTCAATTAACATCAACCATATTATCATACATTACAATAACAGTTCTTGCACGTCATTATTTCAAATACATATAATATAAGTCAATTAAACGTCAATAGACTAAATTATGCAGAAAAAACTTACACTAATGTAGTTCAACAATTTTTTCATTTCTGTTCTTTATAAATGTATAAATAGAATAGAATATGATATACATTCTAGGCATTATAGTATAATAAGAATGGTACGTTCAAATCTCTGGCACGATGCACTCTGTAAATAATACATGTCGAGATTAATTTTCAAAACATTTAAACGATCAACCGGCATTTTTATACAATAATTAAAAGGTTTAAACAACTCATCACGCGAATTTTACACATGAATCTTCATCCTAATTTATGAATATAAGTTATACATTCGGTGGATTGTCTTGTTTTCACTATGTAAAAATTATAAAAGTTCTTGAAAATCTAATAAATAAATATTTGTTTAAATAAATAAATAGTACTTGTTTATTACGGCTTTAATTTATATTGAAATGGTATTTATAAATTAAAGCCATGTTTTTTATGTACAGAGGCATTTTTTTCAGTTCTCCCACATCATTCATACAATATGATAAACAAGATCAACAAGGAAAGGCGGCGCTCAATGAACGCAACTATGTATATAAGTGTTTGTAACGAAACCGGTGATAGAGGCGTGAGAACGCATAAAATGATTGTAAAGAAGTCGTTTTGAAGATCAGAACGATCCCATATGTCAACATATATACTATCAGGAACGTTTGATACTATATACACAAATACATTGGTATGACTAATTTTTCCAGTACATTTTTCTCTTTTAATTTCTCTCACTCACGCGTTTCTGCAAACATACATATACAGATGAATTGTGAATATATATAACACGTGACAAAAAACAACAATTTAACAAAAGATAAAAAATGATGACAACTTGACGGCCACGTGCAAAATGGCGAGAAACGCTATTATTTCTGTTGGAACGTCCCCTCTTTCTTCACTTCTCATTCTAAGCATACGGCACAAGGTACTTAGAAATCCAGAATTTCCTTAAACAATATTTGTCTCCTGAAGCTGGTTTTATTTTGACTCGTCTTCTGAAACTATTTATGGAGTAGATGCCAAACCTTAAGAAAAGATATTTTTATGTTACGGAACTAACGTTACGTTACTGCATCAATACTTATACATTTGTATACTATACATATAACATATAATCTAGCTTGTAATCCTTTACAAAAATTATGTTACAATGTTTTCCCTTCTCAAAATTAATGCCATATATGCCCCTCTTTAATACCACTCTACATTAAATGTTATATGAATCAAACTATGGAAACTATATAAAATTTGAAAAACTGTATCATTAAAATATAAAAAATCTATAGATCTAAAAAAAATCAGACAAACTGGCCATTATCTTAGTTGCAGCTAGAGGAGTCTATAAGAGGCGGTTACTGTATACTAACCTGTCTACAGTACGCGTCGTTCACCTGTGGTCATATGTGATACCAATAATATTGTACAGTACTGAAATTAATTGAAATTTGATTTGAGTTAAAAACTTTTATTACTGTTATATAAAACCACGCGTTAATATGACATTTGAAGACGCACTGTAGCTGGTAACCTTTGGCACATACGTCACGTGGTATGCTAATGAGTCTATGGTATAAATACCGGCGTGGACTACTTTTCGTCCTCTCTCATTCTAAGGCAGCACACCACACTAAATGAAGCCGCAGCTTCGAATGGCCAGGGAGGATTTCATGGATATAGTGACTATTGTGGATTTAAATGACTGGTTGTCTTTAAAATGCATTTTCAGCATGAAATTTGTTGTTGTGACATGTAATACGATCATTTGCAAATTCGAAAACATGGTTAGAAATCACATGCTGATAATAATTGATGTCAAGGTCGCCATTGTTTGTAAACATTGCTTTTAAACAGCATGCTCGGTGAAAACAAGTAATTTTACAGGGGGGTACAAACTTTCAGCAATAGCAAAAAATCTACAAGGCCAAGCACCTATTTCTTTGTGATATTTTGCATGCATAGGGAGTTGCTAAAGCAGTGACAGAGTTTTTTGTAGACCGTATATTTGCAGGTATTTTTTGCCGGAGGGACGAAAAATGTTGTTTTGGGTCTCGGACCGCTATAGATTTTTGGCTTTTACGGAATGAATTGGATTTTTTTAACTGCCTGACTGTTGTACATGGGATGATTTCATTACAGATTTGCAATGGTATGACATATATGTTCTTAACAAAATGTGTTTTCTTTTTCCAGGTTGGGTAGTTTGGGATCAGATTTATCAGACATATTGCTTGTAGGACATTGACGGCAGAAACTTGAAATTTAGTGTGGAGTGCTACCTTAAGGTAAAATGAAATTTTTTCAATGCTTGTTTTTTCTCATTAAACTTTGTGTTAATACTTTAGAATACACACTGACTACAATGATGATGAAATTTCATAATAATATTAAACACAGTGCCAGAAAGTCAGCTTTAAAAAGGGGAGGTAACTCAAATTCCAGAAATTCTTTGTGAAATGTATTAAAGGTGCTGTGTCTGCTGTGTTGATTACACCTACTTATTCTAGGAGATACATCTTTAGAAGAATGCTAATTTTCACATATAGAGCTATGAAGGTTAAATTAGATGTTGTTTTCCTGCTTTTTATGACTTTTAAATTAGGAAAAAGGCATGCATTTAATGAATTTCAGCTGTATGTGTGAAATATGGCCATCCGAAGAGTTTCGAGTGATGCAAAATCATTGTATGGAGGTAAATTTGTGCTGGAAATCACTTTTAAGGGCAAGTGGATATATAATCTAGGTTTTCTGGTGAGATTGTGACCATTTTAAAGCTGAGCGAGCAAGATCGACTAGTCGGAAAATTTGGTTTTTGCACTGTCACTTGGTGAATTTCGATTCCCTAGGAGACCCACATTGTGATGTCTATAATGCTGTGAAGGCCCTGACAAATGCTTTGTCTCTTTGTTTTTGACTTTACACATAAACCTATATGAACATTGTGCATGCCAAATAGATTTTCTACTGTGTAGGACTGAAAAAAATAGCATATATTAGTGTCTGGCAGGAACATATCTGATATATTTTGTGCCCCCCCCCCCCCCACACAGTGTCACATGAAGCCAGTTTATTCTTAAACTGTATGGCAATTTGTTGAATATTTCTTCCACATCATATGACATAAGGATATATTTGTGAAAATTAGTTGTATAGATAGTATGGAACCCATTTTGTCTACACCTTATATTGGGAATTCTTTCTTTCTTTACATGTACTAAAAACAGCGTGCCGAGGGCTGAAAATGGGGCAAACGGTATAGTTCATTAAAGGCACATATAAAGAAAAGCAAACAATTCCTAGCAAAATTAAATCATTTTATTTATTGAAATATGCATGAATTTGCAGAAAAAGTCTGTATAAAGTTCAGCAATCAATGTTAAGGTGCTCCTTAAGGCAGCACACCACACTAAATGAAGCCGCAGCTTCGAATGGCCAGGGAGGATTTCATGGATATAGTGACTATTGTGGATTTAAATGACTGGTTGTCTTTAAAATGCATTTTCAGCATGAAATTTGTTGTTGTGACATGTAATACGATCATTTGCAAATTCGAAAACATGGTTAGAAATCACATGCTGATAATAATTGATGTCAAGGTCGCCATTGTTTGTAAACATTGCTTTTAAACAGCATGCTCGGTGAAAACAAGTAATTTTACAGGGGGGTACAAACTTTCAGCAATAGCAAAAAATCTACAAGGCCAAGCACCTATTTCTTTGTGATATTTTGCATGCATAGGGGTTGCAATAGCATGTGACAGAGTTTGGTAAACCGATATTTTTAGTACTTGTTTTGCCGGAAAGGAAACAAAATGTTGTTTTGGGTCCTTCTGGACCGGCTATAAATTTGGCTTACGGGGAAAAATTGGATTTTTAAACTCCACTGTATACATGGGAGATCTTACAGATGGCAATGGGATGACATATATTTCTTAAACAAAATGTTTCTTTCCAGGTGTAGTTTGGATAATTATCAACACTATGCTTGTAGAACATGAACGGCAAAACTAAATTTAGTGTGAGTGCTTAACCTTATTAACGCTGCACCGGCGATCACACGTTAATTTGCCTGTCTAGAATATAAACGAAAAAGGCCATTCAAAACCTACTGACAAATTGGTAATGGTCACAAAATTAATCATTATTATTGATTTATTACTAGCTATATTTTCATAAGAAATGTTGTCAATAACGATTAATATTAACTAATAAAACAATTATTTTTTTTGTAAAATAAAAATTCGAGCCGACCGACCAAAAGTAGATTAATTTAAAATTTAATGCTTATTGTTTGATAACGTTTGGAAATAAATGTTGGATATTAGGAAATTTTCACGTACGAGTAGATCATTGGAATATTTCATAAACAATACTAGTTTATAATTAGATCGGATATAAATAATTCGGAATACTTATATCTAGCATGGGAAACAAAAATTTGTAATCTGCCATATATCATTTTCCATCAAACGCACGTTTATGATCCTTTAAACGCAATACCTAGAGTGTCAACACTTTGAATCTTTAACCCAAATTCAGTATTTTCCTATCTATTATATATCAGACCTCCGAAAAAGGGCCTTCTCCAATTGAAATTTTCTTAAATCTATGGCAGTTTTCCCAAAAATCTGAACTTACACCGCTTTTCTAACCAATTAAGCATTTCGCAATAATTTGCCCAAATCAGAAGGCTAGTCCCTTCCAATAACAAGAAAATACTGGGAAATTGTATTGGACTATGCATCATTCCTTTTGAATTGATCACCATGCACTACTGGTATATTTAAAGTGAATGATTTCCTTTATTTGCTATATTTTTTCTTGTAATAATTTAGCTTTTCTAGTATGATTTCTTTTAACACTCTTCTTAAAGGGTTCTTTTCATATTAAAAAAAGAACACCTTGAAGAAAAGTTTGTATGCGTCATATTCGTATAAGAGGAAGATTTAATGATTTTGAGTTGTGACATTTCTGCCCACGATGATTTGGCTGTAGACATCGGCCCATATCCTAGGGACTCTAAGTTTGATTTTGACTTTTCTGTTTTATCTTAATCATTTTTTTCTTTTTCATATGATATTTATGAATTAGAATCTTGTAAAAATTAACTTGTCTGTACAGATTTATATAGGACAACCTTGGGCAATAGTGATAATTAATGTGATTATTCCCACAGTCGGGGAAAAGTTGGGAAATTTTGAAATTGGTTGATGAATTTCGAAAATAGCAAAAGTTGGGGAAAATTCTGGGAATTTTATAAGAGATAAGTTTTATTAATTCGCAAACAGGGCATATTTTGGCAACTAACTGAATCAGCCTTTATTAAGAAATCCGCCCCAAGATAAATCTGCCCTTTTTCTGCTAATACTAGTACATAGATGTTTTAAATAGAGCTGTCATTGATTCAGTGCAAAGCATATCAACGATATATCGATATCAAGTGACTAAAATCAACGATACACCGATATATCGATAATATCCTGTACTCACTTGTCTGTCATTCACTTTCATACCTGTTTCAATCATTTCAGTCAAAAACATGTTCTGTACAGTGTCTTGTCCACTGCATGATTTTTTCAAGACAATATTTTTGTCACCATTGCTATGAAATAATTCCACTATATAACAAAAGCATAACAATAGATATAAATAACTGCTTCTGTATATATTTTGGGTGAATTTTATAATTTCTAGACATTTAATTTTTAAGTTAAAAGTATCGATTTTTTAAAATGTGTATCGATTATTGATCGGCAAAAAAATATCAACGATACATCGATATTGTCGATATCGATGACAGCTCTAGTTTTAAACAAGTAAATAATTACGATGTTCTAAAATTTGACATTGTTGGTCCTAGGTTGACTGTTTTACTTTATAACTAAGGTTGCCAAAATCTTGTATATTAATTATTGCAGTTTGCAGAACATTTGTCAAAATTGTATTTGGTAATAGTAATTATAGTATATTGCACATCATGTCAGGTCATTTATGTTTATCTGAGTTTATCAAATAATAATCTATCTATAATTACATAAAATGATAATGGGGTGATAGATAAAAGGAGACCTTGCTCTTAAGGTGGCTTGCTATCTTTAGGAGGAACTCATCATGAATGTTTTGTTGATACTTGTATGTAATACAGTATATGGCATGATTTAGTTTTGAGTGACCTAGTCATCTTTCTATAAAAAGCTGCAATATGAAATAAACATTTAAAATGTGAATGTGGTAATGTGTTTGTATCTTATTTCATTACATGAATTATCAAAAATATCAATTGAGGAGACTGAAAAATACATGTACATGTATATCCAAATGTATATAATGTTCATTGATAAATATTATTTTAATTAATCAGATTTGAATAATTATCTAGTTGTCTTTTTTCAATAATTACAGCTGATATTGAACAGGCAGACTGGGGCCGAAAATGCATCGAGATTGCAGAAAATGAAATGCCTGGTTTGATGCAGTTGAGGAAAAAATACGGACCTTCACAGCCTTTGAAGGGAGCGCGTATTGCTGGATGTCTACACATGACAACACAGACAGCCGTCCTCATTGAAACTCTCACAGCTCTTGGTGCAACGGTAAGAATTCCAATATTTGAGCCGCGTCACGACAAAACCAACATAATGGGTTTGCGACCAGCATGGATCCAGACCAGCCTGCGCATCCGCGCAGTCTGATCAGGATCCATGCTGTTCGCTATCAGTTTTTCTACTTGTTATACGGTTTGTCAGCTAACAGCATGGATCCTGATCAGACTGTGGATGCGCAGGCTGGTCTGGATCCATGCTGGTCGCAAACCCATTATTGACGCTGCTCATTTATATCTGAATCATTTAGAATTTGGTAAAAAGGACATTATGTATTTATATTCTGCCTGAATAAGTAATTGCTTTGTTATAGGTATGGCATGTTTTATTTAATGCTGCAAAAAAATTTATTGTGACAAAAGTTTAGAAATGTATTTAAAACAAGATAAAAATCTCCAAACAAAAAAGAAAAACAACAATTTTTGCATAACATTTAAACATAAACATTTAAATAATGAAATTAACATTGAGTAAATGTATTGAATTGTTCCAAGCATTATTTCACGATTCGGCACATTGTTCACTTTTAGAGTGGAGTTTTGTCTGTCATGTATTAAATAACCCTTTTAAGTTACATGTAAGGAATATTCTTTTTGGGTATTGTGAAAAATTGACCTAAAATGGTCAAAATTTGCAGCAGTTCTTTCATTACCTCATTTTGTGCAAAAATGTGGTTCATGACTAGGTGTTAAAACAAATTCTTAAATTTTTTTGTTAATGTGATAAATTTAATTCCAGGTTCAATGGTCAAGTTGCAACATTTTCTCCACCCAAGATTTTGCAGCCGCTGCCATTGCTAAAACTGGCGTACCAGTCTACGCATGGAAGGGCGAGACTGATGAGGAATACATGTGGTGTATTGAGCAGGTTAGATAACTTCGTCTTTACTCGATGATTTTTTTATCGAGTACAAAATTATGAACTGGTTTGTTTGACTACAGAAATTACATTTCCTGGTCTCCGAACTTACCTTTTTTTTGCCAACCCAAGACTCAATGTACCCTAACTTAACCCTTTCCCTCATGAGCATATTGTGAAAAATGGCCGTTTTCACTGAATAGCCTCCTGTTACAAGTTCAAACTGCTATGAAACTATGAAAAATGCTTCAATACTAATCAAACTTGGCACAAATGTTGACTGGACCCTTGCCTTTGTAACGACATGCTCAGTCTTAAATTTCCTGTTACCATGGCAACGAGGGGACATCTCAAAATTGCCAAAAATCACTATTTTGCCTTGATTTTTTCCATCAAAATTTATTTCAAAGTGCTGCAACTTCTCAAAGGATTAAGATAGAGTGAAAGGCTTTTCAGCGTTGGTTACATGTTACCTTATGATCGACCTAGGGTCATTTTTAGCCTCTCACAAGTCCAAAATTTTCTTGGCGATGAGGCCACATCCCCCTTCTGGCAACCCCCTGATTTATTATTTGGATGGGGGATGGCGCCGAAAAAGTGCTCACTTTTTTTAGCAACAACATTTCTCAAACGAAAACGTGTGTTTTCGGGCCCAAATAGTACAGTTTTTCACTATTTCAGGCCTAAAAAAAAGGGGGGGGGGGTCGAAAGTGCGTTGTTTCACGTATATATGAGGTAAAGGGTTAAAAGACTTCTTTTCAGGATATATATAAAATGATAAAAAGTATAAATAATTACTGCCTACCTACTCTCTTTGGATCTGAGATCAGAAACATAACTTGATTATGTCCTTACACATGACTGTAGTGTCAAATCAGCTGCAAAAGAGCAGTAAATAGTTGCAGCTGCTGACTTGTTTAATATTTACTGCTGGGGATATTGCTTTGTATGTTGAAAGGCTGTGAAGCTGGTTTAACTATAAAACCTGTATTGTGTTCTGTCTCCAAAAATACATTAAGCACATATTGTTAATTTTTAATACTAAACATCAAATGTTCAATATTAAACATAATATTACTCCTAGATCAGTGTGTTTTAACTATTTGTTTATTAAACATCATTTTATGCATACATTGTAAAGTTGTAATACATGTATAGTAAAGTAAATGTTTGTAATTGAGAAATATGGCTACTGAGTCAGTTAAATGGTGGAATTGTATTATAATTAGATTGTGTTATTGTAATATTTTTTCAGACACTTGTATTCAATGATGGTAAACCTCTAAACATGATCCTTGATGATGGTGGAGATCTCACAAACCTTGTACATGAAAAATACCCACAGTATCTTAAAGGTATAACTAGCAACATTGTCACATAGATCCAAAATATTAGGGAAAAAAATTAACACATTGTGCATAGAGATAAATGGAGCAAAAATTTGAAAATCTCTCGATGATGATAATTGGATGAAAAGCACATGAAGGGGCAGAGTGAACTTAAGCATGAAATAGTTCAAATAGTTACTTTATGGTCACTTGGAATGGAAGTTTATTACATGTATAAATATTTCCAAAAGCAGTTTGATTTTATAGCTTGAGCTTCAGTACTGTCGATACTGCTCTAATTTTGTGCAAGTACTCTGTTATAAATGTTCAGAGTCTGATTTTGCTCTTTTAAGTTGTATCTACTCTTAAAGCTATTAATCTGAAACAGAAATACTGTTTTTAATCTTGTAATTATTGTTTTTGTATCTTTTATAGTACTCTAAATAATCTCAACAACCTAGAGCTTTGGTTTTTACTCTTACCTTTGTTGGATAAAAGAAATTTGTTAGAACTCTTTTATCCTCTTGTTTATCACTTTGACATCTTATACTGTTTGATTGCCTTAATTACTCTTTTACACTCTGATGCAGGTGTTCAAGCTTTGATATTGGTGTTCAAATTCTATTCTTACACCTTAAATCCTGTAATTAATATTTGAGCTCTGTTTTCAGATATCAAGGGATTGTCAGAGGAGACAACAACTGGTGTACATAATCTCTACAAAATGATGAAGGATGGTAAATTGAAGGTTCCAGCTATTAATGTCAACGATTCTGTCACAAAGGTACTTAATAATTTGAAACACTCTGAGTAAGTTTAATAGCCTTAAAGCTGGCTGAATAAAAACCTCTGAATTGTATTAATAAAAAAGTAAATTGGTTTAATGTTCGCCAATTCCAGGTTTTCATACTGCAAGAACCTTTTCTTTTGATGTTTCCATAATATTTAGATATCACATCCCACTTTCATGATAGAACAAAATGTTTACTCGAGACAAGTCAAGTTAACCAAGGCATTGGTCAAGGTCAATTTGTAAAGGGTGAACATTTGTCATTTCAACAGCAGTCGATATTCAATACAGACTTCTCGAACATGTTCACGAATAACTAATAATTAAAACCTGGTACCCAGGGCTGGCTCGGAAGGTCATTTCGTAATGTCAGCATGCCAACAAGTCGTGTGACATTATGAATTGTTTCCCTGTTACGTCACTTAAGGGTATATACATGTACCAGATAAATCATGTGAGGTTTGCTTTCTTACTAGAATCCAAGAAATTAATGATTTTATATTGATGTTATGAAAATCATACTATCAGGCAAAAGTTATGGACTTCATTAGGTATGCATTTTATTTAAGAAAATGTAGACCCATGATTTAATTCTCAAATATTTTATAATTGTTTTACATTTTTGTATATTTAGAGTAAGTTTGACAATTTGTATGGATGTCGTGAATCCCTTGTCGATGGTATTAAACGTGCCACAGATGTTATGCTGGCTGGTAAAGTTGCCGTTGTCGCCGGTTACGGAGATGTCGGTAAAGGCTCCGCACAGGCTCTCCGTGCTTTTGGTGCACGTGTGATCATCACAGAAATCGATCCCATCAATGCTCTGCAAGCTGCTATGGAAGGTAAAATTTACGTACATTTATTTTAGTCTTTAGCAGTGTGTGTACAAGTTAAGGTGAAGCATTTTACGTTTTGTTTTAGTTTAAGACCATATTTCTCCAATAACTTGTCACAGAGTCTGAATATTATTTGGTGTGCAGATAAATTGCCTAAATTTGACTATTTGGGTTTAGGAGTTTAGGTTTCAATTTAATGGGATCAAGGCCGTTGAATTTGTTTACAGTATTTTCATGCCTTTCCCCATAGCATTATTTGTTAAGTGTGTAAAGGCAGAACATGTTAGTATCCAATCATTGAGACAGTGTCTTGTTTCTAAAATTAAAATAGTGTCTATTCTTAGCGAAGTTTTAGGAGGGGAGATGGGGGATTCACTCGTATTTTTGAGAATTCCCCCCTAATTTTTCAGAGTCGGGGAAAATTTTACATAGAGAAAGAAGGAAAAAGATCAACAAATGTAATAAATTTTCACTTTTCCTATTTTTTGAATCCTAGAATAGACACTGTTAAAATAATTTTTTTCATCAAATGTAATCCTACCTTTTTTTCAAAGCATTTCTATTATATGAAATATTATATACAATTGATTTCAGGTTATGAAGTAACAACCATTCAAGATGCCATCACTAGAGCCCGTATTTTTGTAACGGCTAGCGGTTGCAAGGACATCATTATGGGCAAAATGTTTGAACAAATGTTGGAAGATTCTATTGTGTGTAATGTTGGACATTTTGATTGTGAATTAGATATTAAGTGGCTTAATGAAAATTGCGAGAAAAAAGAACAGATCAAACCACAGGTGAGTGATATAATAATTACCTGAATACGGTCCTTATTAGGCACATTTTCTGCATTTAATTTTACATCTTTTATAACCTACTTTTAGTTGCCAACAAAACTGATATTATTTTAATGTGTTCTATAAAACATTCATACATGATAGGTGTAGCAGGGAAATAATTGGGTTATTGGTACAACGAGGTTCATCTCTAGAAGGCTAGTAATAAGTTTTAAGCTACATGCCTCACGATGATCCAAAATACTTCAAGAAAACTAAACTAGAGAAAATTATAATTTGAATTATAAGTAAAGTAAAAAGAAGAGGCAGGGTACAAGTAAATATTTTACATGTTATATGCAATTAATGACTGATTTTGCAGTATTTATCTACTATGTGAGTCAGTGCTCATGCAATAAGGTGTGATTTTGTATATTTTGACCTCTTTTTGGTAATTTACATGGATTTTAAGTGCCATTTGCAACGTGTAAATTACTTCCATTGTTCTCTTCATAATATTTAACTTTAAAATACATTCTCAAAATTTTCATGAAAATTAGCATGAATCTGGAGGCGTGCTGCTTTAATATACGTCATTGATGCTATCAAATTCAATGAAACCTTTATCAAGTTATTTTTTCACAACAAATAATAATCACACATAGAAAACACATTGCCTAATTTATGAAACACTTGATGGTTATTTGAAAAAACTTCCCATTGCTCGATTTTCCCATTGAAAGTCATTTGTATCATCATGATACAGATTTGAATGAAAAAATGTTGTCCCTTGTTTTTGACATTTGACTTTCAAATGGAAAAATTGTGTCCAAATTTTGTTGACTTGCCAGTTTCAAAGTTAACCTTTTGGAGTTTGGTAGTTTTAGTTTTGTATGAGAAATGTCCATTATCATGTAGTTATAGCATGATGGCTATTATTAACGTTCATGAAGTAAAATTTTATCTGGCCCCCTCTCTTCAAAATGAACTACTGTTGTTCATAAGTGTAACAAATGTATAGATTAATCAAACCCAGGTTCAACATATGTGCCATACTGATAACACTGGAGTTTACATCTTGATAAAAACCAGTTAAGCTATCTGAGAAGGTTGTAAGAGAATTCAGGGACATGTACATATCTGGCGAACGTCGGTTCATTCTCGTTTGAGCCAGTTTTCTTCTATACAAGTTTACTAGACTGATCTGTAGTTAAAGAAATATTTGTCTGTCAGTGAAAAAGAATTCAAGGTTGTTCCTTTCTGACTGGTTAAAATCTAGAACATGAAAAGAAAATAAAAAAAAATAAAGCCATTAATTGTGATAAGCAAGTCTTTTCCTTAATTTTTAACCTGCAAAGTTTGTGCTGCCCTGTTTTAATTTAATTAATTTTGGTACAATCCATATAAATAACATGGGATTTTAATATCATAATAGAAACCTTAACGATGAGTTACCAATACTACATGTATAAAATTGAAGAAAGAAAATAACAACCTGCACCTACAACTTACACGACAAGACAATTTCTTTAAGTCTCACTTTTGTACATGCATTAACAAAAATACAACAAAGTTAGCAAAAAAATATATGTTCAAAATCACTCTAAAAAAGTTACGAGAGAGACTAAGAACATGATCATAAATTAAAACCCCATTTAAAACAACCTTAAACAAATGTTAAAAGCTGAAATATGTGGCAGCAATAAAACTTTACAAGTTAAATACATTTTTGTTGCTTTTTGTCTGAATTGCGGATATTTGCTACAATATTATTTTGCTATTGATTTACAGGTGGACCGATACACACTCAAGAATGGTCGTCATATCATCGTGTTAGCTGAAGGACGTCTCGTAAATTTGGGTTGTGCCCACGGTCACCCTAGCTTTGTAATGAGCAACTCCTTCACCAATCAAGTATTAGCTCAGATCGAACTTTGGACCAAGTCAGACCAGTACAAATTAGATGTACATATGTTGCCCAAAAAGGTGAGTTGATTTACATTATTACTGTTAAAAATGTTCGCTTTTAAGAATATCTCCGAATAAAAACATTTTCAGGATTTTACCTAATTCACTTCTTTTGCTTTCACATATTTCAGAGATAATAAGACAAATTAGTGTCAAATTTAAACGATTCTAGTATTTACAAGATGATAATAGTGTTTAATAGTTATAGTATAAAATTATTTCACATCAGAATAAAAGTGCAACAAAGTTCACATTTGAACATTTATTGTACCAAATAAGTCTTTTTGAGAGGCCTGCAATGATGAGCACATGCTGTACGAAGCAAGGTGATACTAGTAATTCACCTCTTCCACACCAGCTCTTTTGTCGAGAAAAGATATGAAACAGTTGCCTCCCTTTAGCTTTGTTGAAAAGAAAATTAATTATTAAAGTTACAATAATAGACCTAGTATTGTACTAGTTCAAACTTGCACATTTATGCTGTCATTTTGGCTGCTGATTTTTGTATTTTGGATACTGACATCCCTTGAACTAATAATGACCTGCTCCAAATACAAAGTAGTTCAAGTGCATTTCACATATTCAGCAGGGTGGGAAAAAGACAGATTCAATAGACCATGTTTGTAGTTAAAGTTTTTTTTTTAAAAAAAGACATGCCCAATATTGATTTAATACCTTGATTGTATTACTATATGTTCAAAGTGAAAATAACATTTTTGTTAATTTTACAGTTGGATGAAGAAGTTGCTCTTGCTCATTTGGATCATCTTGGAGTTAACTTGACCAAACTGTCTGACGACCAGGCTTCATACCTCGGTATTCCAAAGGAGGGACCATTCAAGGCCGACTTCTACAGATACTAGACATTCTGAAATAATTATTGCAACCTTGGTTATACAAGGGAGTAAAAAACAACAGCTGTCCTGAAAAAAAATCGAAGTGACCGTTTCTGGAAGCTGGAATTGTGAAAATATTTTGAAAATATTAAATGAGGGAATTATTTGCACCTTATATAACATATTACACACAAAAATACATCATGATAATCTGATATTTGACAAAATTTGCTTGGTGAAAATGTTTTTAGAAAAAATATGGATATTAATTTAACAATCTGTAATTTGGCTATAGCAAGTCCATATTCTGATTAAATATGAATAAATAGAACATTACATGTTTTCTTACATATTTTGTGTGTGCAATATTACAATTTTACTTACAGGCTTATGAGAATTTTTGGTCAATGTCCTATTAAAGCTGATCTCATGGACAAAGAAATGTAATGTTTACTTAAAAAAAAATCATAATTTTATTATCTAGTTGTGTAGCATCAATCTGTTGAACACAAATTTTGATTAAGATCATTAAAAACTTGATGAAATATATAATGTACATGTATTTAAATTCAAAGATTTACATTTTAACAAAAATCTTTGTTAACATTGTTGTTGTTAAGATGAAATCCATTTAGGGAAATAAAAAAAAAGCACAAAAAACCCATTATTTGTTTATCGTTATTTTGTCAAATTTCTGGTTATTGTATCTTTAATTCAGACACAAGTTGAATTGAGACTTGCAGTTTAATGCCATTGACAAATATATTTGCATACAAATTGACCATGCGTGGAGATGGGACCCTGTGTTCATGTCATTAGCAATGGACCTTTTAAGTTTTTAGGGTGAAAAATTGCTCGTAAACGGTATTGCAAACCAAACCATGTGTTTAGTTTAAACTTGGTCAACCATTGACACCAAATGTAGCAATTGGATAGCCAGTCGACCAATTTGCATATACATGTACATGTAACTTAAAACACCTGAAAGTCCCTTGTTCAACATAAAATGACCATGCGTTGAAATAAACCCCTCATTTTTCATTTTTTAATATGGGGCACCCGTTTAAATCTCATTTTTAAAGGGTCATAGGCATTTTTTTGTAAAAAATTTCCCAGGGTTTATTTTAACCCGGGGTTTATATTTAAAGCATGTGCATTGTTTTTATGGGTTCTTGACCTTTCCCTTTATATTCCTTGGCATTACCTTTTTTATGAACATAAAGTTTAACCAACCCTGGGGTTTATACATTTGGAATTTCCATTGTTTTTGATATAAAATTACCATGGGTTTTAATTTTACCTTTTTCATATTTCCCCTGAAGTTGCCAGTGAAACAAAATTGCGAAAACGGTCATTTATAAAAAGGGAATTTCCATTTTTTTGGGTTTTCCTAATTGTGACCTTTCCTTATAGCCCCCTTGGGAAAACCCCGTTTACAAAAATTACCATACTTTATTGGTCTTTTTCAATTGCCCACCCTTGCCCATTAGAACTAAGTTTTTATATAATTTAGAAAACCCCGGTTCATATTCATGGGAAATGTCCTTTACTTTTTAAATTTAAACGACTAACCCCGAATTGTGACTTTTTGTTCTATGGTTTTACAATTTTCTTTATTACTTCTTACATAAAAGGACCCTGCATTTATTTTTTCCCCCCTTTTATATACATTATCACTTTTTAAAAGACCCCTGTTGATGTTTTTTTGGGTTTGTTTACCTCGCCACCGGAAAAGACCAAGGGGCGAGAAAGATTAAATTTGATCGTCTTTTTATAGGGTCTTTTTTAAATTTTCCTTACGTTTTTTTTACAAATTAAATCCCCAGCATGTTTAAAATTTAAATTAGTAAACAACTGGAACCGTTATCTTATGTAGTTTGTGGGAATTCCCTTTTTCAAACATGTAAAAAAATAAGCTCAGGGTTATATTTTTATTTGAGGGGAGATATTCAATTTTTAAACGTTTTTTCCAATAAAAATCATTTTTTGTTAAATTTTTATTAAATAGACTGACGGGATAACCGTTAAGTCCTATGGGGTTTTAATTAAATGTTAAAAAAAGAAAAAAAATTTTATTTTTTTTGATTCGGGTTTAAATTTTCATTTTTTTAAAAAAAGTCTTCGCTTTTATATTTTTATATATAAATATAAAATATATTTTTAACTTTTCCTCGCCCAAATTTAATTTTTTTTACGTTATTTATATCTAGTACAGAATCAGGAACATTTTGTTGTTGCCGGGGAGACAATTGTGCGATATTTGTGTTATTTATGGGCATTATCTCCCCTCCTAGTAATAGATCCTGATGGAACTATTTTGACTACAAAGTAACATTGGCATTACTATAAAAACGACTGCCATGGCAACTGTCTTGGCACATATAAAATTGGTTCCATTTTTGCTTATATAAAATGGGTGTCATCCCTGAATATTACTTTTGCCTTAACATATATGTCTAGTTTTCATGTTTTTCCATTTTCTGGACAAATTTTGTTACAAATTAACTGGAATAGTAGGATAACAATGACAGGCTCGATACTGTTGATTCTTATTATTTTTATTTTTTATACAACTCATTTTCTAAAATAGGGCAAATTCATTACACAAAACTATCGGTGTACACCTTCAACGGATGAAAATATTTGCCCATCATAAATTATCATTTATTTTAAATAAATACATTTATGGATGCGACATATTATTGTAATTAAGAAATATAGTGGTGTTAGCCTACAATCCGGTTTTGCAATAGCAGACGGGCGTTAGCCCACTGTCCGGATAGTAACTTAGTGGACAGTTTTTAGATAGCACATAAATTAGCAGCCATTTTGTAAGAACAAAAAGTTAAGAAAAAGAAATTGTTAAAATCACAGAGATAACGGGGTAAATGTTTTGTTTTCGTGGTAATTCTACTCGAAAGTTACTTCTTAATCATCTCCGTTATCATATGGACATTTCTATTTCGTGTTTACTAACACAGTTGTGATGATCAAAGACAACGTGTTTTCTCTATCTGTTCATTGCTGACCGACGAAATTCAACATCTAAGTCACGCTTCAATACAGACTATATATTGGTTAAAAGATGTGTACGTTAGTATTAGGTACATCTCATATCAACAGACTCCAAAATTATTTGGTTCGACAACACAATGCCAATAATTTATTTAATTTGAACAATTACCCGCCGATATATTTGCATGGAATATCAGGTGGATGTGTCAACAACCGAGTCCATGTTACTCGCTGGGAAAGGAGCATTGCTACATTCAGGCCAAAAGTGTTGGTGTTACATTTTGGAGGAAACGATTTAGATTCGCGAAGAGATGTTTGTGATTTAATTTCGCTGAAGGTAGTGAATTTAGCAACCACATGGCGTGCACGATATAACGTTCAATCTGTGGTGATAGTGCAACTGATACCTAGATTAACTCCTCGTCACATCTCTACGGCCGATTTTTTTACACGCACTTTAGAAGTAAATAAGATGTTGAAAGCTGAATGTCGTCACACTGACATTTTGTACTGGAAGATCTCTGGGGTGAAATATCCAACTCAGCCTATTTTCTGTGATGGTGTACATTTTAATGATGATGGAATGCTTCGTTACTTCCGTAGTTTACGTGGTGCAATTATCTACGCTAGTAAATAAGTGATGTAAACATAGTGAAATGTTATTGTGTGAATCGCTTCAGCCTTGTGATGTGACTGATGTTTTTTGCTTTAGAACTCTTTACCTACATGTACATCTGGCTATTTACATCCTTGTTTCATTATGTTAACATGCTCAAATAGTTCAAGTAACATGTACAAGCACAAAATACTACGGAATTTTCATCGCAAATGCATGTCTTTTCTTTACCTGCTGAGAATCATGTTGACAGTTAATGAGTTATCTGTATATATTTTGTCCTAGTATTTATTAAGTTTATTTTAGTTATGATTGAAATATGTTAATATTTCTGCATTAGTATAACTATTTTATGTTATTAATGGATTTATTGCTTTTTAATAACAACTGTAATATGTTAGTATTTCAGTTATAAAATGCAATTTGGGCCTTTATAAAACTGGTTGGAAGTTCTTCCTTCATCATTTTTCAAGTACATAAGTTTATATTGCAATGCAATATTATTTATTAGTGCCAGTATACGGTAGTATTTGGCAAAATACGTTAGTATTTGGCAAAATACGTTAGTATTTTCTAGAATACGGTAGTATTCTATCTATTTCTCGGACAAATGATTGAGATATGTTAGTTTTCAGTCAGAAATTTGTTCAAACATTTTATCAACAACTGAAATACGTTAGTTTTCAGTCACAAAAAATACGTTAGTATTTTTGGCAGTTATCATAATTATGATGGTATTCTTAGTTTATTAAGAGCAGAATACGGTAGTATTCTTACCTATTTTTGTTCGATCGAACTGCAAGAAATAAACTATTGTTTAGTCAAGGGAATACGTTAGTATTTCCATTTTTAAAGCATAATATGCTAGTAAAGCTTCGGCAGATTACTGTGTTTTTGATAAGGTTATAACACATTGACTAATCTGTCAGTTGATTTAAATGAAAAATATTTACACTTGATGTTTTGGTTAAATGTTTCTAATACTTCCTTTTACACACATTTATGTTTTCATTAAATTTTAATTTCCAGCCATTATGCCTCCACAGCGGAAACGAAAAGCACCTGCACGTTTTAGTGATAATGCCGGACAAAATCGCCCTAGACGGCCACCTCATCAGCCTCCTGTGGAAAGTCCCAGCCTACTTGGGGACCCCTCCGACACCCCGCTGCAGGCCAGTGTCCAGAGACAAATGATGAGAGACATAATGTCCGAAATGGTTCCAACCGTAACCAAAGCCGTGGTTGACACCTTAATAGAAATGAAAGTAGTGGATCCCATGTCACATGCCTCTCCTTCTGACCCTGCTATTCCATTACAAGAAAATTTAAATGGTGCTATGTATCCAGATCAACGTCCTCAGGAACATCCTGTTACAGCTACCAGGCCAGGTAACGACCCATTTTCACACTCTCCCCCATCCTTTCTTTTAGGAATAGATTCCAAACTGAAGGGCCGCATTTGGGCAAATGAGTATATTGATCTCGCATCATTGTTAGCTGAAGAGACGGAAAGCAATGACTCTTTCAGATTAGTGGAGAGTACAAATGGCACGGTCGCTCTGCAAAAAATGCCTCAACACAAAAGCATAATCTCGCTGAACCAATGGAATACAGCTTTTCATAAATATATATCGATTCTGACAGAAAGCCAACCCTTGTTGATACCATCCCTTATGCAATATATGGAGCATATTCGACGTTTAGCCCAGAGAGCTGGGGACCAGGCAGCCTTTTATTATGACAGAACATTCCGTAAACTTCGCCAGTGTGATCCATCTTTGAGTTTTGCGGAACTTCATGCCAGCACATACACTGAAGCTATTTGTATGGGATTGAGTAATCGTCTGTCAACACGGCCCTTTCGTTCCACCAAGCAAACTACTGCATCTTCCAAACCTTGCTTTAACTACAACAACAAAGGCACCTGTTCAAGACAACAATGCAATTACCAGCATGCCTGCCAAAAGTGTTTCGGGCCACATCCTAAAAAAGTATGCCCCCTGCCCAAGACTGATACCCCCTCAAACCCAAGTCATTCAATCAAAACAGTCATCTCTAAAAAGTGATTCCTACTCCTGGACTATATCAAATTTTTCAATGGCTCCGATTACCCCAATTAAAGTAGATAAACTTGCATATTGGTTAACTGGCTATGATAAAAGCGAAACAACATTTTTATTGGATGGTTTTACACATGGCTTCACCATTCCCTTTAATGGTTCTCGTTCTTTCCGTTCTGCAAACAATCTTAAATCTGTTCGAGAAAATCCTAAAATTGTATATGATAAAATATCTGATGCAATAGTTAAAGGTCATGTGGCGGGACCGTTTCTAAGCCCTCCTTTTCCCAATTTTCAAATTTCCCCTATTGGTCTTGTTCCTAAGAAGGATTTTGGCAAATTTCGATTAATTCATCATTTATCTTTCGGAAATGAGTTATCTGTTAATGCGGGAATCCCAGATGATTTATGTACTGTCAATTATCAAACAATTGACGATGCCATAGCTCTCGTTAAACAATGTGGTTATATGTCATATATGACTAAAGTAGATATTGAAAATGCATATAAAATAGTGCCCATTCATCCCCATGATTTTGAACTTTTAGGTTTTTCCATTGATGACAAGTATTTTTTTGATAAAACCTTGCCCATGGGATTGTCTTATTCGTGTGCTCTATTTGAACGATTAAGCACTGCCTTTCATTGGACTGCTGTAAACAAATTGAAGTTACCGTTTTGTGCCCACATTCTTGATGATTTTTTCTTTGTTAATTTCACTTCTGATTTGTCCATGAAGGGTCTTAATATATTTTTAGCATGGGCACAGTCAATAGGGTTACCTATTAATCCAGATAAAACTGTCACTCCTTGTACCACTATCACTTTTGTTGGTATTGAGCTTGATTCCATTGCAATGGAGGCTCGTTTACCATTAGAGAAATTGCAAAAAATCAGGTCAGTTTTACATTCTATGCGATTTCGTAAAAAGGTTACTTTACAGGAACTGCAGTCTGTCATAGGTCTCCTTAATTTTGCTTGCAGAGTTGTTCGGCCGGGCCGGGCTTTTCTGCGCCGTTTAATTGACTTGACTGTGGGATTGACTAAACCACATTTTAAGCGCCGCTTGACACTTGAAGCCCGTGCAGACTTAGCTGCATGGAGTGTTTTTATGGATCATTTCAATGGCAAGTCAATGTTTCTGGAGGAGCAAATCCATACATCTCTTTCCCTACATCTGTATACGGATGCAAGTAATTTAGGCTTTGGGGGGTATCTACAAGAAAAGTGGTTTTCCGAAAAATGGCCTCGGTCTCACAATCAATACCACATAACTGTTAAAGAATTTTTACCCATTGTCATTGCAGTTGAACTGTTTTCAGAACTCTTAGCCAATAAATGTGTCACTTTCCATTCGGATAATGCAGCAGTCGTCGCTATTATAAATAAGCAGTCTTCTAAAGATAAATTATTAATGAAACTTGTTCGACGACTAGTAATTGCTACTCTGAAACACAACATTTTGTTTAAAGCATGTCACATTCCTGGTTTATCTAATAATCTCGCTGATTCTCTATCTCGTCTTCAGGTAGAACAATTTTTGCAAGAATGTCCGTTTCATCACCCACTACAAATGGCGGTTCCACCATCCAGTGTGACACTTTGACTGAAATTTCCCAAAGGCTTCTTCACAATGCTTTGGCAACATCAAGTCAGCTCACTTATAATAAAGCAGTGGAACATTACAGGCGCTTCATTCTAGAGAGGTCACCATCACGTACACTTTTTCCAGCCTCTTTAAATGATATTCTTATGTTTATTGCACATTGTTTTTCGAAGAATTTTGCGCCTGCAACTGTTACCACATATGTATCTGCCCTTGGTTATTTCCACAGACTAAGACAAATGCCAGACGTTTCTGGTCATTTCCTGATTAACAAATCTTTGACTGGTTATCGAAATCTCTTGAAGCGTCCAGATATCAGGTTACCAATTACTCGAAATATTCTATGGTCTCTCGTTCAATCTCTGCCACGCATAACTCTATGTCATTTTACAAGAACACTGTTTAAAGCCATGTTTCTTGTTATGTTCGCCTGCTTCTTACGTCTTGGGGAAGTAACAGCAACATCTTCCCCTCCACTCCTTCACAGGTCACATGTCTCCTTCAAATATAAACACCCCACAGGTGAACTGATTGGCTTTGACTTGACTATAAAAGATTATAAACACAGTCATGGTTCCCAAAAACAATTCTTTGTTCCTGCACAGCATGATTCTAATACTTGCCCAGTATATTCTTTGAGGTCATATCTAAACTTACGCAAAACATCAAGTGGTCCGCTCTTTGCATTTATGAATGATTCCCCTATTCCCCGTTCCTATTTTGACCGCCATCTTCGCCTAGCTCTGACATACTTAGGTTTTGATCCTTCAAAGTATAAAGGTCACAGTTTCCGCATAGGTGCTGCAACTACAGCAGCGGAAACAGGTTTTTCGGAAACACAATCCAACAAATGGGGCGCTGGTCATCCACAGCTTTCCGTAAATATATCCGTATCCCTACCTTACACTGTTAGTGTACTGTCCCTGGATTAAACTCAACTATATCGCTATCTTGGGGACAAGGGCCTCAGACTAGCATAATCGTTCACATTCCTAAGGTACACATTAATACCACATCTTCTGTCTTGGGGACAAGGGCCTCAGACAGTATGAATCATTGGTGAAATACTTGCAAATCTTGAGGACAAGGGCCTCAGAAAGGTTTTTCTGAAAATTTCTGCTGATAATTTTGTTAAATCTCTGTTGTATAATAATTGATTTTCTTGGGAACAAGAGTCTCAGAAAATCAAATGGTATTTTTCAGAAAATATTACTTTTGTTGTATTTTTGTGTTTTCTTAATAAATGTTTTTATGTGTTAGTCATAGCTTTTTATAAAACACTAGTCAATTGTCTTTTTAATGTATATATCAGGGTTCACTTTTATATTTTATGTTGCAACATATTTTCGTAGTTTTTTGTTGGCGGATATTGCAAACTAGGTTTGCAACATGTGGCGTTTTGATGGTTAACCAACATTTGATTTCTCTTACCATACATGCATAATAGTTGATATTTTTTGCATTGTTGCATAATTGTATTTCTAACAATTGCATTCATTTGAAATGTTATGTTGTTTTAAATTTGTATGTTTTACTATTATGCATTGTTCACATTTAGTCATTTAAATAGCATTAAATGACAATTTCACTATATTGTGTCTTTGTGTTTATCTGAAATCAAACTGAGAAAAACTTCGAAAACAAACAACCGACATACATAAATTATCATTTATTTTAAATAAATACATTTATGGATGCGACATATTATTGTAATTAAGAAATATAGTGGTGTTAGCCTACAATCCGGTTTTGCAATAGCAGACGGGCGTTAGCCCACTGTCCGGATAGTAACTTAGTGGACAGTTTTTAGATAGCACATAAATTAGCAGCCATTTTGTAAGAACAAAAAGTTAAGAAAAAGAAATTGTTAAAACCCACCCTCCTCTCCCAAATGAGGTGTGTTGTTGGTTAACCAATATTTGCAAATTTTTAGTTGATAACAATTTTTCTGAAATGGCATTTGTTCATGCATATTTATTTCTATTTTGCATTGTTGCATAATTGCATTTGAATTGTTGCATAAACGGCGTTTTGCATGGTTAACCAACATTTGATTTCTCTTACCATACATGCATAATAGTTGATATTTTTTTGCATTGTTGCATAATTGTATTTCTAACAATTGCATTCATTTGAAATGTTATGTTGTTTTAAATTTGTATGTTTTACTATTATGCATTGTTCACATTTAGTCATTTAAATAGCATTAAATGACAATTTCACTATATTGTGTCTTTGTGTTTATCTGAAATCAAACTGAGAAAAACTTCGAAAACAAACAACCGACATACATAAAATTCTTATTTATATAAAACATTAAAAATTTAAAGAATTTATCAGTATGTAGCAGATATTCTTTTTTTACGTAAATTGACATATCTTATTGTGTCAAAGGGAGGTAAATATTGACAATATTCGTAACTTTCATATAAAAAGTCGGGGAAAATTCCATTATATTTGGAAAATTATGAAATATTGGTAACATAAACTTAAAAGTGAAGATGCCTTATAAGAGCATTTGATTGTTTATAAGTTAGTTTCACCAAGTTGGTTATGGTTGTTCATTTAGTTTAAACAGAGGGTGGGATCCGGAATAGCAGTTGTATCTCTCGACTGTTACCCTTTAAAGCAGCATGCCTCCAGATTCATGCTGATTTTCATGAAAAAATGTGTTTAAAAGTGAAGTATTGTAAAGTGAACAAAGAAAACAATTTACACATTGCAAGCAGTCTTTGCAACCAACGTATACAATGTCAAAATAGGTTTAAAGTAGCCAAAATAACTCTTACTGCTTTAGTAATACAGTAGAAATATGGTGATAAATACTTCAAACTCAGTCCTTAATCCCACATAACATGTAAATTATTAATTGAATCTTAAACCTTTTTTACTTTCTTAAAATCTTAGTACATTTTTTCTCAACTTTAATTTTCTTGAAATATTTAGCTCATCTTGAGGCATGCAGCTTTAATGCTTGTGGGCATTTGATAGGGATGACTTTCAATCTTAGATTTAGAACATTTTTGCCATTTATTTTATTCCTACAAATATGCATATGTAATTTGCCAGATAGACTAGCATATTCTTTTAAAGGTAACCGTTTTAAAGCGGTGCTATTAGAAATATACACAATAACTTAATGTGTTGGAGTTTAAACTAATCCGGATAGATAACTTCATGTAACAATAGACCTTTTAAGACACATTCCATTACAAATTATACGGCATAATATCTTCAAAAATGAAAATACGTGCCAACTTCATGGACTTATTGTACAATTATTACCATATTAAACAAAATATCATTACAATTATAACAAATGTTTGCATTGTGTTACTATAAACCAGTTGTCGTCTGCACGGGATAAACACGAAGATGAACGCTGATAGCACGTGGCAGCACACAAGGGGTTTAAAATTTCTGTGAAAACTGTGAAAAACTGCATATGATACATATATTAAGTGAACAATAGAATTCCCTATAAGATAACACTTTTTTTTGTTGTTTTTTTTTGTTTTTGTGAAAGGGCGGAAAAAATACATTTGCTAGCACTCGATCTGAGGAACGCCAGTATTTCTGACAAAACCAGCGCCACTTTTAAGTCAGTCGAAACTGTTCGTCCTTCGGTTTACGGTGGCACAAAGGTGACATGGCGCACGAGATACTACGTCGAGGCCACGAGGTACTAAGTCGTGGCCACGAGATAATTAAGTCGTTGGAACGAGATACTATGTAATGGCCACGAGTTACTAAGTCGTGCGAACGAGATTCTATGTAACTTACTAGTAAAACAAACCAGTTAATTAGGAAAATTCATATAAATGGTGTAATCTGATTGGTTATTTATCTCGTGGCCATGACATAGAATCTCGTGGCAACGACATAGTATCTCGTTCCTACAACTTAATTATGTCGTTGCCACGACTAAGTAACTCGTGGCCACGACTTACTATCTGGTTCCCACGACTTAACTATCTTGTGGCCACGACATAGTATCTCGTGCGCACGAGATAAATGAAAACACACACATGTCACCTTTGTGCCATCGTATCGGTTATAGATGATTATGGGTTATGAAGGAGGTGATTTGAATAAGAGACCAAGATCTACATTGTATTATACTGTCACTGTTTGTTATTTTTACGAATTTTCATGGAATGATATTAAATTAAAAGAGTTATATACAAACTGAAAGATTAATCAACGCTGTTTTTATGGCATTTCAATTTGTTGCAGTGTTTATTAATTCAGTGTAGCTTGCAATCGACTTGCTATATCAGCAATGGCAACATTTGTTTTTAGCTAAAGCGTTGTAAACATCAAGTACCAAGTTTGGAAAGGTCAATTTGGGGTCTTCAACTTTTCATTGGGCGGTTGCTGGTTAGGTGACGGGTTGTCTCGGGGAAAGGGGAGATGGCTTAACTAGAACGCCCTATACACTTGGTATTTTTTTTAATAATTCGATTTGTGAAAAGGAACACTGTAAAACAAGTCAAAATGTATATGTTACCAAATTAAAATAAAATAATGGCAAACATTTTCTCTGTTTAAACATTGAAATATAAAATGATGATAACAGAAACAGCTCTCGTACATCTTCACCATCTATATCAATAGTATATGTCTAGCTCATTCGAATCCTCCCTATATTTTGCTATAAAATAAACATTGAAAATGGAAATGACATGACTCTGTTTAAATATACATTATGCACGTGCGCTTATGCTACGTGAACCAAAATAATTATGATCATAGACTTTTTAATCAAAGAATATAAATGATTAATCTGCTTAAAATCAGCTCCTAAATACGCATTAGGATCTGATTACCACCAAGAGGTTGTCGATTTCTCTTGACCTTTTAAACAGCCAATCATCGGCAAGCATATGTAAGGATAAGTAAATCTGAACTTTAGTTAGATTGAATAAATCATGTTATGAGTACACATATTCTAGAAGTAAGTTGATTACCTAACGTAAAGTTCTAATATGTACCAATAATGAAGTCTAAAGAAAATGTTTAGAAGTGATTGAAACTATAAATATTATAAGTTGATACATGTAGCATGAAGACAACATGTTTAAATAACAATGAAATTTATATATTTCCTGCAGTTTTTAAACTACTGTAATGTGTTACATATCAAAAGTAGTCATTTCCTTAGGATCGAACTCAAGTGTGTCGCAGTCATTGCCAATAGAGCCACCGTCGTGGACTGATGACGTAACCTCTTCTTTGACGTCATCTTTGACTTCGCTGTAACCACTTTCTGATTCTTCTGAAAATTCAAGAAAGATAATATCTAAACTCTTTTTGGGCTAATAATTATCATCAACAGCCCAGCAATGAATATGCAGGTTATGTTCAAAGCAAAATATATGGTGGCTGGTTTGTGCTGTGTCGTATTTTCGCTCCGTGAGGCGCCAGACGAAATTATGACAATGTATTCTCATGTCCGGCGGAGCGAAAGTACATGTACAGCTTACAAAGACTTCACTTTGTAAGCATTTTCGTGTTTTCGCCTGGTCAGTGCGTGTGTGTGGCATTCTGTAGAAACTAAACGTTAGTATAATGATTCCGACGGAAAGTTAGGCTACTTAAAAGAATGAAATTTTACACGATTATTCACTACATTCTATACATAGAAAAGGAGAGAAAAGATATACTACAAACAATTTTCAACTTATGACAAAAGGAAAAGTTCTTCAGTTATGCTGTACAAATTGACAAATTGACAATTATCAGTTTTTCTAACCTTTTGTTTCATCTCTGATTTCTGAAACTGGCGGCACGGTGATCTTGCTATTGTGGACCCAGTTTATCGGTAACTCGTGCTTGCTGTCCTTCTCCTCGTGCACGCCGCGATTCAAGCTGTACCAGTTGTCGGGTTTGGAGTTACTTCTGCACGAGATAATCGTGATGATGAACGCTGAAAGCACGGACAGTAGACTGGCTACGCCACACAAAATTACAGAGTAATGGTCGAAAAGGTCATGTTGTCGGTGTATCATTTTAGTCAACTGCATCCATTTCCGGGGCCGCACGATTTTCTCGTGTATTTTCACGTGTTGTATCACAATATGCACAACAGGAACAGCTGTTATTGCTCCTATTGTGAATAAATACATGTATAATTAAAGATCTTAAAGATCTGTAACACATTTTTTATGGTTTTATACCATAAATATGATGCTATGCTCAAATAAAGATGTATCAATTTTGTAAGTTTCGAAAGGCAAGTTTCGAAAGGCATTATTTATAAAGATATTACCGAACTAAACATTTCATGTAAATAAAGGGAGGTAATAAAATTGATTTTCTATAAAGTCTAAGTCAAATTTTTCAATAACAAATGAATGCATATATTTTAATGATTACATATAACGTGGACAAATATTTGCAGTACATATTTTACATATTCTTCGATGTTTGAAAATTGTTTATAAGCATAATTCTATACATATATATAATTTCACATAAGTGTGGTATGCAATCTCAATTACAACATGCAGAATCTTATGGAAAGATTGCATATTTTACAAATTACTTTCAATTAATATTATGTTAAGCGAATGTCCATCCAAATGTTTTTAATTGTTATTTAACTCTATGTTTAAGATATCCAGTCATTAAAAGTATCCCACGAATACATCTGAATAAATTAGAGAACAATCAGCAAAATAAAAGAGAAAAGGATGATTTAACTTTAATTTCTTAACGCATTACGCGGACACCATTTTATTCAGCATTATTATATTTCTGCTAAATAACGTTCTTTCTATCTAACATAAGTTATATAATCTAACTGAATATATTTGATTTTCAATGATTTTCGTAAAGACATCCGGAAGATTTTAACATATATTTCGCATCAATTAATGATATAATAATCTGAAATCACCTGAAATAAAAAGCGACGCCAAAGAAGACAGTGCCCGACGTCCGTGATGCCTGTGAGAACAGCACGCTGTGCTGGATATAAACAAACACATGGCGCTGAACACAATCCCCAGTGTGGCCTCAAGTCTCAGCTCAAAAATATTCATCCTCTTTTCTATAAAACAAATAGTTCCAAAATTAGTAATAGAAATAACATCTAGATATTGCAGTCACCGATTTGTAAGAACGAAGAATGGTTTTGTTTATATATAATTTATCGCTGTCGCTTACACGAGGAATCTTAACGTACGCACACATCCTTGCGTACCAACGATTTAGTGAAACTTATAGGTCCATTATGTGTAAGAAATGCTTTAATTCTTATGGTCATTAATAGTATCCAAAAAGCTACTCATCGGTCAATTACTTGAGCCATCTTTTTCATGTGTTGCTTTTTGCATTAAGTGCATTTATGGTGAATTAGTATTTTGTATGGAAGTCAAAATACTACTTTGTTTACATTTTGCATATTCTATGACAAAATATTTCACATTTATCGCCACTTTTTCAGATTACAAGCATCTAACATTCTATGAAACCATAACTTAAACATATACATGTATAAATACAACTTTGCCCTTTCTAAAGAACTAAAAATTATTTTGTTTCTGAGGCATAATGTGCCTTTAAGAAACTAATTCACTTTGAGCAATTATAAATACATGTATACGTTTAAAAAAATCCCACTTACCTAATGTATTGTCGTCAAACCTCGAGTACAGTGTACACCACTGCACATCATTGTTCCCGTCGTCGTCGGAATCAGGCTCCGTTGTTGTTATACAAGCTCTGCTATACCAAAGACCGGCAGTTATATACAGCAAAGACGATTTTTTGTTCTCGGGCATGCGCATTTGTTTTTTGTTGTTTGTTTCACTCCCGCTTGTAATCATATTTACAGGTGACAACGACGTCTTCGGAGGAGCTTCGGTTTTTCCCAATAAAAATTGGCCATTTTCATTTGCAGAGATTTGACTTATACTCGGACAGTCACTTCCGATACAGTCTGTCCCAGGAGTAAGTTTTTCGCTTGTAACGGCGGGCTGTACTACGGCCCTTTTTCTACGCGACGATACATCTTTGACCGGAGTATTACTATTGCTAATCGTGGACATCTTATCTTCGTCGCCATAGTCACTTGGTTCAGCAAACTTTGGTATGTCCATGGAATCTTGATGAGAGTTTTGAAAATATGGCAACTTGAAACGGCGACCATCAGCTAAAATACCTTTGATATCATGATTGTACACGACCTCTTGGACAAACCATGCCGGTGCAAAATATCCGACCGCTTGTAAGCAGAAAACTATGGCGCTTATGACGAATATTAAACTGTTAACGCTTTTTGTCTTCATTTTATTTTTGGTTAAGAACGAGTACTTGAATACAAACTTATTTCAAAGATTTTATAAGACGCATAATCCACAGGCGATTGTACGGACACTGTATTGTTAAAGGCGATATCTCATTATCGAAATATGACCGTTTTGTGACAATTGTTAAAATAAATTCCGGTATTTTAGCCAGTCCCATCATTCGAAAGACGCTCGAACTCCAACTGAGACGTGTTTTGTAAATAAAGACCGGTTTAACTGCGCATGGTCCGTAGATTCGCACGTTCCATTTGATTCAAGCTAATTACCGCTAAGCTCGGATAAATGTTCGAAAGATCTACTCCTGTATATAAGTTTATAGAATTTTAGTAATAAGACTAATGTTTTGTGGACTTAGCTTGTATAATTATCACGATGAAGTCGATTATGAAGAAGAAGATGTTGTTGACGTTGATGATTATGATAATTATGAGGATGATAACGACTATGACGACGATACATGTAATAGTGACGATGCTGATTTTTATCATTCTTATTTTTATATTTAAAAAAATCGGCCTACTTAAGAGCTCAGCTGTACCTTGTGAAATAAGAATATTCTAAAACCATTAAAGTTTTTTATCGATTCTATTTCCCAATTAAGCTATCCTTTATGTCACATGATATTTCTTGTTGAACAAATTGAAGACAGCTACCCGTCAATTATAGGATTTGTTACCCATATTCTCTCTTATTTTCGTCCGTTTTTTTCTTCAAACCTCCGCTTGATACATTTTGTATATATATATATAGAGAGAGAGAAAGAAACAAGGTTCGAAAAGGGAAATATGTGCATGCGACCTTATATACAAAAAGTCTTAAAACTGGAGTATTAATGCTATATAATCAAGTTCGCTAAAACTAGACATACTTCGTCATTTTCCGTTGTCTTTCATCGCTCAAATAAGCGTCAATGTGAGCAGGAACAGCTAAAATCTTATCCTCTACAGAAATGGATTAAGATAATCTCGGAAAGCTATATATACTGAAAAATTTTACCGATTTTGTGCACAATTTAAGATCATTCGCTCACTCCGTCCACCCAGAATATTTATTCTAATTATTAAAAAAATGACCAAAAACTGAACATATTAAATAAAAGAAGAATAGCGCAAACATAGTCTCATAGTTACTTTTTAGATACGATTTCTCAATTATCTCTGGGTGTTGAACATCACTCCGTCCAAGATTATCTGTTGCACATCAATCTGTTTTAACTATGTAAGAAATTCAAATTTTATGTTTCATAGGCTTTTGGACCTCAGTGGATTTCTTTAATCAGAAAGCACACACATGCATATTTGTTTCATTTTCATTTGACAGAGTTATGAATAATTATGATTTAAAGGGAAATGAAAGACTGAAAACTGATAAACAGGTAAATAATGTTAATTCATTATTAAACAGCCATTTGGAAAAAAAATGTACGCCAATTTAACATATTCTATAAAAAATGGTAACTCCTACGTAGGAGATAACAAGGCCTAATTAGGAGTTTAAAACTCCTACGTAGGAATTATAAAATCCTAATTAGGCTTTATTTTATCTCCTACGAAGGAGTTATAAAGGATTACGTAGTAGTTATAAACTCCTAATTAGGTTTTTTTTATCTCTACTTTTTATAGATCATGTTAATTGGCACAATGACGCTTCCGTATACAAATATCTGTCAAGTTTACAGTAAATATCATAAATGAAAAGTATCCCTTCACCTTTACACCCCTTCTAATGCACAGGTCTGTATGAATATTCTGAATAAAGTTAAAGAAAGGGATAGTTTGGCATCATCTATAATCTTAATTTATTCATTATATAATTTAGATATTTTACAAAACAAACGCGAGCATTATTCTTGTACATATTATACAGCAAGTTATGTTAAAACAGAGAGAAATAAAGAATCCCTAAAGAACGCTCAAAACGACAAAATTGAAAATGTTGCAGGCTCGGTTCGTTTGAACCTGTTCATGGACGGTACTGGGACGTGCAAGTTATCGTCCACGCCCCCTAGCACCGGCTCATGCAGTATTCATGAACTGGTAAAATTTGGAATGGTAATTGTACATTGTGCATATGTACTATAATGTATATTGTATATTTCTATTACCATAATCATGTAGTAGTGTTAAAAGAACAAAGATGAAAAAAAAAAGCTTGGGAAAAGTTATTGAAAGTTTTCGGCGGTGATGTTAAAGAAAAGTAATTTATTGTTAAAAATATTAATGTGAATACTTTTGGTCCAACTTAAAAGCTAATAGGTATATGAAAGAATGCGAAGAACTAGAACATTATAAATTGTTCTCTTGATAATGTTTATTGAAGAAATGTAATGGAAATGTTGAAATATGATATAATGGGATGGAATTACTTACATGAGTATACAGGAGATGCCAACGGCAAGTAATAAGCCAACGAGACAATATGTTGCGATACGAAGCCAATACATGTAGGATGAAAATGTTGCGATACGAAGCCAGTAAGATGAAAATGTTGGGATACCAAGGCAGTAGTATGAAATTGTTGCGATGCAAAGCCAATAGGATGAAAATGTTGCAAAACGAAGTCTATAGGATGAATATGTTGCGATACAAAGCCAGTAGAATGAAAATGTTTCGATACAAAGGTAGTAGGATAAAAATGTT